GGACGAGAAAAAACTTGGTCGCTCGCGAAGACAATGCGCCGGATAAAAGTAAGATGTAGATGAAATCCGAAGGAAATTGCAATTTGGCTGGAATTGATTTAAGGGAAATTGGCGCATAATGCACGACTACATCATTATCCGACGCATCAGCCTAGGCTGCCGCGAAATTCGCAGCGCGCGCGGACCTGTCTGGGGCAGCAGCAGCAGCAGCAGCAGCAGCAGCAGCCGCGCGGCGTGAGAGGAGAGGAGAGGAGAGGAGATAGGCGGCTCTCGAATTTCACGGGAGAGCGCGATCGGTGCTCGGCACCCCCGCCCCCCGGCCTCCCTCCCGTTAATTTTGCAACTTGCAAAAGGCGGTTATTCTGGCCGTGGACAGGCCGGCCAGCTCTAGGAGCTCGCGCGGCTTCGCAGATAATTCGAGAGAGCACTCGGCCGGCCGGGCGGTCCGCGAGGGGCAGGCGCGATATCGGAAAAGGCATTTTCGTCGTCATGCCAACTGCGTTCCCGCTAATAAAATGTTAAGTCGAAGCAGCTTCTAATGCTATCAGCGAGCGCTCTCGCGCGGCTTCGTCGAGCGATGCCCGTTGCTATATCGACAATCTTGCGCCGGCCGCGCGAGACCTAAAAGGCGCTCTCGGCCGGCGCTCAATCCAATGGCAAGGCCGACAACGCGCGCGCGATAATCGGACGCCCAATGCCGGTGCCGCGCTGCAGCCTGTCCCTCCTGCGGCGGCTTTCCTTGTGAAATCCCGTGCATTTCGAAACGGTCTGCTGCCAGTCGGCGTCGCTCTCGCGCTCGCGACTCGGCTTATCGGCCGATGCGATCTCCGCGAATCGCCCGATAAAATTGATATTGCGCGGCCGTTCTCCCGCGAGCGCCTCGCCGCGCGGCCGATTGCGCGCCGAGAGGCCTCGCGACGAGCTGCCGTTCGCCGCAGGCCGGCCGCCGGCAATCGGAAAAGAAAGGAAAAAATTGGAAGCCGCGGCGGCGGGGCAAGGGAGACAAGAGACGCTGCGCGAGAGGGACGAGCAGCAGGCAGGCAGGCAGGCAGGCAGGCAGGCAGGCAGGCAGGCAGGCGGTAGGCTGGCGGCAGGCGGGCGGCTGGCGGGCAGGCAGGCAGGCACTGACGACTCGGCTGTCCCCGATAATTTCGGAGCGTCCGAGCTCTCGACGGCTCGGCGCTCGCGTGACAGGCGCAGGCGAGCGGAGAAGCCGCAGGCAGCTCTCCTTTAATTTGGCGTTATCCGCCAGCAGCGCGCGCTCCCCTTTAATGCGTGCCGGCTAAAAACTTTCGCGACGACTAAAGCGAGCGCGCGAGATAGACGGCCCCGGCCGAGCGGATAGACGGACGGAGCGCGCGGCCTCGGCCGATAAGACAGAGCGCCGGGGGCCCCGGGCGGCGGCGACGGCCGGGCCCCGGGCCGCGCCGGACAGCGCTCGGCCCGCGCCCGACGGCGGCGAGGCCGCACGTACGCGGGCGCGCGCGCGTGTGCGCGCGCGGGCGAGGCGGCGGCGGAGCGCGGCGGGTGGGGCAGCCGAGCGAAGCAGAGCGGCAGCTCTCTCGCTCGCGCGCACGGCGTACGCCGAGACGATAGCTCGGCGCGGCCGCCCGCGAAACTATTGTCCGGCGCGGCGCGGCCGCCGCGCGGCCCGCATTTTTCGCGCGCGAATTTCCGCGGAAACTTATCTCTGGTTCGACGCCGAGCCCGGCCGCCCGCCCTTTCAGAGAGAAGTTTTCTTTTTGCCGGCCGGCCGCGAAATTTCAGGATTTCTCGCGGGCCGCGCGCGCGGACAGCACTTTTGCCGGCGCCGCGCGGGCTCGTTTATTTTTGCATTTTAAGGCATCGGAGAAAAGAAAATGTTGAAAAAAGGAGAGAGAGAGAGAGAGCGAGAGAGATGGGGCGGCGGGGGGAGGGCGCGGCGGCGGTGGCGGCGGCGGCGGAGCAGGAAAGAATAGCAAAAAAGCGTCGGCGGCTGGCACGGGGCCCAGGCTAGAAGAAAAAGAGAGCGACTTAGCCCAGGACCGGGCAAAAATTTGAGCCGCGCGCGCGCGCGCTCTTTAACGTTCGCCTCTCTCCCCGCGCGCCGCGCTTCTTTGTTTCTTCTTCTCTTTTTCTCCGTTCGCTTCTCTCGGCTGCAGCCGATAGTTAGCGGGCCCCGGCAGCATGCAAACCAGCCGAGATCAGGCACGTACGCGCAGTCACGCCGGCGAAAAAATTTCGCCAGCCGTCTGCAGCAGCGATGGATCGAGCTTCTTTTTTCCTTCTTCCGCGCCTCCACTTGCCTCCTCTCCGCCGTGCTCTTGCCTCTTCTTTTTTCCTCGCTCGCTCGCGGTCCAAGGGTTTTGCGCTCCCAGCAGCGAGAAAGAGCGAGAGAGAGAGAGATTGCTTTTTTGCTCTCCTTTTTGTCGGAAAATGAGTTGGCCGGGATTTTTCCTCGGCGCCGAATCCTCGCCGTGGATGTTGCGTCGGCATCGATCGTAGGAGGCTCGCATAGTCTCCGCGGCGTAATCATCGCGGAGAGACGGAAAGCTGTTGCGAATTGTTGATACCGAAGCCGCTGGCCGGTCATTTGCATTTTTTGCGTATATAATATTGCGATACGTAAGCACTCCGCCGCCGCCGCCGCCGCCGCCGCCGCGAGTGCCGTTACGTAATTTTGCGCAAAAACTCGCGTCGAGCCGTGCAGATGTGCATGAATAAATAAGAATTGCAAAATTGTTTCCGTCCGAGGCAGCGGCGGCGAGAGAGCAGAGCATCGTTGAATTTTTCTTTTTCTCCGTGCCAGTTGCAGCCGGAGGAGGAGTAAAAAAAAATACTCGTCCAGCCACTGGAATGAGCAGCTCGAGTGGGACGAGGGAAAAATAAAGGGACTGACTAGTCTCTCTCTCCCTCCCTCTCTGGCTCTTTCGTCTCGTGGGGCGCGCACATGCACGCGCGAAGAATACACGCCAGACTAGACTACCTATTCAGCAGCGCCTTTCCAAAATGAGCCAGCGTTGTTCTCTCTCTCCCATTTTTTTCTCGCTGGCTCTCGCTGGCTCTCGCGCCTCGATGCTCGGCATCGTGGCAACATCCGAGTTGGCGTACTCGGCGAAGAGAGCGCCCGCGGATGCCTCGGCGAGGGTGCGACGTTCCGGAGTGGCGAGCCGACGAGGCCAGCTGCCGCGCGCCGCGGCAACGGCGCGCGAGGCTAAACGGATTTCAAGGCCGAAGGCGCGGCCGCGCGAGCACGACGAGAGCAGCCCGCGTACGCGCGGCGCGTAATCGCGTCCACCTCGCGAGGCGAAAAAAGAAAACAGGCGAAGCGCGCGCAACGACCAACAGCGAGAGCGAAACGCTCCGAATTGGCAGCGAGGCTGGCGCTGTAAAATTGCATCAAACGCCGGTTTAAGAGTCATGCTGAGCGAATGTAAAGCGTTTTACGCGATGCAACAGAGAGACGCGGAGCAGGACAGAGAGAGAGAGTGAGAGAGTGAGAGAGTGAGCGCCGCTGTACTTTTACGTTTGCCGTAACGGTTAAAACAATATATACGAGAAAAATTTTATATGCGACACATAAGATTTTTTATTGCCCTCCGCGTTTGCGAAATCGTAAAAGTCTATATCCGCCGTGATGCCCCGCTCTTCGCGCGGAAAGCTTCTCTCGCGAGGCTCGCGCGGCTTCGTTGGCAAACTTGGTAATTGTGACGAACGCGCGGCGCCGCGGAGAGTGAAAAAATTATCAGAGTAACAGCGGAACGCGGGGCAAGCCGCAGTGTGCGCGGAGCCAGCGGCTGCGACGCGCGCAACTAAAATTTCACTTGGCCGGTGGTCGCGACGCGCCGGACGTCGTGCATCGCCGTCTTCTGCCTCGGCTGCACGGGTATCGGCTTTCATAAAAGCATCACGTGTGGCGCATTTTCGAGAGAGAGAGAGAGAGTTTTTTTCTCAGCAGCGGCAGCCTCCCCCACAATTCCGAGCGTTGGGGCATCCATAGAGAAGAGGGCCTGTGCCAACGGCAAAGTGCCCGCGGCTCCCGAAAATGCATGTGGGCATACGGAAAACAGGTTTCCTCGACGATCTCGTGGTTTTTTGTCCGAGCGTCCCTCGGCTCCCTCTTTCTCTCTCTCTCTCTCTCTCTCTCTCTCTGTTTGTCAATCGGATTTCCACGGGGGCCCATACCTTCGTGCAGCGGGCATCGAACTCGTACCTGCCAGCTATAAGCTACGGCCCTCGGACGCTTTGTGCGGCGGCTGCGAACCGAGTCTCGGCTCGGCGCACAAAAACCCATTGAATTCGGTCACCTGAGCGCGCCCGGACATTCACGGGCCCAGCAGCGCAGGAAAAAGGGGCAGAGCGCGCTCCCGACGGCAGGCATTCCGCGCGCGGATGCCCGTGTTCGCCGCCAGCCGGCGCGCGCCGAGGAAAAAATCCGTCCCCCTCCCCCTTGGCCCCGTCGTCCCGAGCCTGCGAATCTCGCAGACTATGTTCGCTCTCGCGCCGCGCGCGACCTTGCCCCGACTGGCACTTTCTTCTCGCTCGCCGAGCGGCGCATATTCCAGCGCTCGCGAGTCGACGGGGCAGCGGCGCTGGACGAACGGACGGGCTGCTGCTGCACGGGTCCGCCGGCGTCGGCCGAAGGACGCGCGCGTGCAGAGCGGAGGCGGGTCGATATCTTGCGATACGCGCGCGTCGCGGACGAAAGTGACGCAATCGCGGAGATTCGGCGGAAAGGCGCGCGCGGGATCGGCCGAGGCTTACGTAAGCGGCGCGCGGTCGAGTCGGTCCGCGCCGACGTGGGATCCTCTCCGAGAGTCGAAAAGTCGGCCGCGAGTAAGAGGAAAAGAAAAAAGAGAAAAAATATCTGGTCCGCGAGCGACGGACTGACAGGCAGATATTAAAAAATAAAGATTGCCTTCGCTCGGCGCTCTGGCGCGCCGGAGGAGTGGCGAGTGACGAGGAGCAGGAGCAGGAGCAGCAGGAGGGATAGAAAAAAAGACGAGAGCTGAATATTTCTTAGAAAACGTAACATATTCTATATTTAACAAACATTTTTTCATGTTCCTTTGTTGTTGTTTCATATTTACAATTACACATGGTCATACATTTCGCAGTGTGTGTGTCGGTGTGTCGCTGTGTAGGTGTGTGGCTGTGAGAATATGCTGCTCGGTTTATTTACAATGCAAATTACAGTATACGCGAGGGGCGAACGCAGCGGGTCGAAGGTATATAAAAAAAAGAAGAGAGAACGCGGAGGTACAGAGCGAGAGAGAGAAGACGAGAGAGAAGACGAGAGAGAGAGGTGGACGTCGTCCGATCGCAGTGACAACTGGACGCGAAATCGTCCTATGATACGTCTAAACGCGCACCCGCCTATGGTCGCACTCGCACGCGGGGCAACGCGGGGCAACGCGGCGCCGCGCATCGCTTTCTCTCTCGGTCGCCTACGCGCACGCACACATCGCACTCACGCACACGAACAGAGATAATACGCCTATCGTTCGTTGCTCGCATTACATGTACACTATATAACGCGCCTCTTGTTTTCTCTCTCTCTCTCTCTCTCTCTCTCTCTCTCTCTCTCTCTCGCTATTTACACGCACACACTTGCACGCAGTTTCTCCCTCCGTCTATTTCGTATACATGCTACGTCTTCCTTCGATTCGGCGCATTCCACATCGATCGCGCATCGATCGCGCATCGCAAAATTATCTCATTGTCAGTTACATAAATGCATTGCCGCTCGTACATGCCTACGCGCTCTTTCTCTTGCGCTCTCTCGCGATGTGTGTGTGTCTGTGTGTGTGTGTGTGAGTGTGTGTGGGTACGCGCACTCGACGGCGGAGATCAGGCCCGTAGGCCGAGGGGGCGCCGAGCTCGTGACGGCAGAAAAAACTAGCCGATCCGCGCGGAGAGGACAGAGAGCAAGGCGAGACGCAGGCGGGCGAGAGCCGCGGAAGGAGAAATGGAAAGAGCTGCTGATATTATTCGCCGGGCTATTGTATTTCGTTTCTCCGCGCGTGCGTGCGCGGCCTTATCGCCGCGCGTGACGCATCGCTGAATCAGCTGCGAGCTGTAAATTTGCATTATCGAGTGGCGGAGCGTCTCCGCCGCGCTCGCGAGCTCCGAGGGAAAAGCGTCGAGTAACAGCTGAGCGCCGAGGACTGGTCTGCTCGCTAGACACGACACGGGAGAGCGAGATCGAGCGCGAGTTCGGCGATCATCGCGACGCTGCTGCCTGCTCGCCTGCACTTCTGACACGCAGGCACCTACGGCCCTGAGGCTTTTCGGTCGATACACAGTGTCGAGTCTTGTGTGTCTTATGCCTCTTGTCTTTTCCTGCGAGCGTGCGCGCGCGTGCGTGCGTGTGTGTGTGTGTGTGTGTGTATGTGTCTTTGCGCTTTTTTCCACTCTTTTCTCTTTCTCTCGCTCGCTCGTTGGCTCAATGCTTCTTTTTTTCAGCAGCGCTCCCTCTCTGCACGAGCTACTGCTCCCTTTCTCTCCTTACACATTTCACTCGGGGGGAGGGCCACGGCAGCAGCGCTCGGGGCATTGTTGCTCGGAACCGGAAGCCTCGCGCGGAGGGAGCAATTATTCCTTCTTCGGCCAGGAAAAAATCCGGCGATTCTCGATACAGAGAGAAAGAGAGAGAGAGAGAGAGAGAGAGAGCGAGAGAGAGAGACGCTGCGAGAAATAGACGAGAGCGGGAAAAGCCAGAGAGGGAAAATGCGAGCGAGTCGAGGAAAGGGTTCTCTCTCTCTCTCTCTTTCTCTCTCTCTCTTCGGCGCACACTCACCCCCTCGGGGTCTTCTTTCCTTTTTACTCTCTTTCGCCTCGCTCCGAAGGCGCTGCGCACACTTCTTCCTTCCTCTTTTTCCGCGAGCGAGCGAGACGGAGAGAAAAAGTCGTTAACGGAATACTCGATGTTTTTCCTCGGCGAATACGTTGCGCATAAAAAAGCAGCCCCGTCCGCCGTCGCCTCGAGCCTGTGTGTGCTGTGCGCGCTCGTGTCTACACGCCGCTCGACAATTTAAAAGACAGAGAAAGGAAGGCAGGAAGGAACGGCTTTCTGAATAATGCACTGGTCGTCGTCGCGCGCGCCACCCTTTCATTTAGCGCTCCCAAAGTGTATTGCTAAGCGTGTCGTTGTCGGACTTATTATAAAATAACTATTCCTCTGGGCGCTTCTTATCCGACGACTCTTAGACTAACGCGACGAAGGGTCCTATAACGAAACGCGGAATCGAACAAAGAACAAGAGCGATCGCCGTAAAAAAATAACAATTCGCGCTCGCCGCCGTCGTCAAAAATAAAATCAACAATGAGCGTCGCTGGCGCAAGCAATCGGAGAATAATAATAATAATAATAATCATAATAATAGTAATAATAATGACAGGCTATGCTAGTTAAACACAGGAGTATATGTACAACGAAGGCATGCAGAGGAAGGTAAGAACAAAATTTTTGGCGTAACAAAAATGTGCTCGATTAACCTAGATAGATCGATGCCTGCCGCTGGCGCCGCGGCGGGCAGAGGCAACGGAGTAATTACTTAAAATTTCTAAATTTTAATTATTGCTAAGTGTGGCACCTTTTACGTACGGGCGAGCGTACAATTACGTCGGAGCGCTGACAGACGCCCTGGCGCTGCCTGCCCGCGCGCTCAAAAGAAATTGGCTGCTCGGCGGAGTGGCTCTCTTTGGCGCTGCGCGGAGCACTTAGCGCGTTTTGCAAGGGCTGGCGACGCCGAGTGTCTCGCCGCGGGGGCGGCCAAGCCTGGCGTCGACCGCCGAGCAACTACGATCGCACATGACTAACGCAGGTAACGGCCGCGCACGCGGCCCCGAAATAACGGGCCGCCGCGGCGCGCCAGAGAGGGAGGAACAGAGATAGAGAGAGAGAGAGAGAGAGAGAGAGAGAGAGAGAGAGAGAGAGAGAGAGAGAGAGAGAGAGAGAGAAAGGCAGCGCGATCAATCGCCGCGAAAAAATCAAGGACAAAGAACGGACAGCGAGAGAGAGAAACGAGAGCAAGCTCGCTTCGGAAACTAGCCTAACAATCGCTGAGCAATAAAAACTAGAGTCGCTGGATTAGTCTCCGGGAGCTGTCCGCCTCGGCGCGTCGGCGGCGCCCGCTCCGCGCGAGAGGAACATGTCGAGAGTGGTCGAGGCCGGCGACGACGACACGGCCGAGCGGAAGCGAGGATCGGCTCGGCCGGGGAATCGATTACACGCGTACAATGATCATTTGTCGATCGAGCGGCCGGCCGCCGGACCAAAGCGGGCCCCGCTCGTGCATTATACATGCTGGCCGCGACAGAAACAGGTTGAGCCGCTGCCGCGGCGCTCGCGGCTGCTGCATGCATTCATGGCCCGGCGGAATGTCCTTCAGCGACGCTCCAGCGCCGCCGTCGTGGTCGCGCGCTGGCGCTGCTGCCGCTGCCGCCGCCGCCGCTGCTGCTGCTGCTGCCGCCGACGAGGACTGCTCTCTCAACTGCAACACAAAGCACATCGCTCTGGTCAACATCCTGTGTTTGGCGCGCTCTGCCCGGTACCCCGCGGCGACACGCTCGTTCGCCGTCCAATTGTCGGCTCCGCCGGCAGGATCCGGGGAAACGCTTCCGGCCTGTCGACGGCGCACTTTTCATTTGCACGATCAATCGGCCCATTCCACGCTCCTTACATCAATCTCGTCCGAGCGCTGAAAGCGACGAGCGCAATATTCGTATTGGCAGACGTCACGTGAGCGCCGCGTCGTGGATATTGGCTGGCAATAGTTTTTCTGCGACTGCACAAAGACCGTATTGAATTTCATGAGGCCTGCTCGCTGCGCGTCGCGTTAATAAAACAAGCGGAATAATATATGGATGGGCGCGCTCTGCCCCGCTAAAAGCCTCTTTGCCTGGCGAAAAAATTGCGGCCGCGCTCGCGCGCACCGCCCGATTAGTATAATCAATACTCGACAAGTAAAACCGATCCGCGCCTGCGAGGACAAGACCGAGCGACCGGAGAACTTGGTAAAAAGTCGTTAACCTCGGCGAGCGGCAAAAAGAAGGCGCCGCCGCGCGTCGCCGCGGAATAATGGACGCCGGGGCGTCAATTAGGCGCAAGCCTCGTCAATAATTGTTTTGATTCGTCCCTCGGTTTTTCAGTGTCGCGACGCCGGGGCCTGAAAGTTTAACGAGCGAGTGCGCGGCGCGACGGCCACGACGTCGACGCCGACGACGACGAATCGAAAAGTAGGACTTGCGTGTGCAGCGAGCGGCGGCTGCTTCATTTACGCGCGGGGCGCGCACACCAGCCTGCCTCTCTCTCTCTCTCTCTCTCTCTCTCTCTCTCTCTCTCTCTCTCTCTCTCTCTCTCTCTCTCGCCCGTTCGCCCGCACTCCTGGCGTATTGATTTTCGGGAAGTTTCGCTCGCGCGCAAGTTTCTCGTAGCCTGCCTGCCTGGCGGCTGACTGGCTGGCTGGCTGGCTGGCTGGCTGGCTGGCCGGCCGCCGCTGCACGCTGCCGTGTCCGCGCATTACGGCCAAATTAACGGGCCTCGTCGCGTCAGTGCCGCGCGCGTTTTTTCCAGTTTTTCCTCGTTTCCGGCCGGATCGGCGCCCGGGAGACGCGCACACGCCGCAGTCGAGGCTCGGCGACTCCTCGGGCGGCAGGCCGAGCGGCGCTGCTCGCGCGTTCATCAATTTCCCGTCGTTAAGCGTCGACCTCCCGCCGCCTCTCTCTCCTTCTCGCAGCCTCGACGACGACGAGCCGCGCGCGCTGCCGACATTGTACGCTCGGCCGTAGGCTATACATAGTCTGAATGTTTAATGCCCGCCGTGCGCCGTCGCCGGCATCGATTAGCGCGAGGCGAAAGAAAAAACCGCGCGCCCGCGAGCGGCGCTCGGCAGCAGCCCCCGGACGTCGCTCGCGTCGCTCGCCGAGAGCCGAGCGCAACCGACTGGCTCGTCTTTTGATTAATTGACGGTTTTCATTATGTGTCGCCAGCGCTCGCTCGCAAATTATACGCTATTACGCCGTGCTCGCGACAATTAGCTCGCGCCTTCCGCGAGAGGCAGCGCCGGCCGAGCGTTGCGCGCGCTCTGCCTTGTTGGCCAAACAAGAGCGCGTTCCCGGGAACGCGCGGCGCCGTTCCACGACTGACCGACTCGCGCGCGTCGGCGTCGACGCTTGGACGCGCGGACGGAAGATTTTCTTTCTCTGCTCCTCTCGCTGGGTCGGCTGAGCTGGCTACCTGGCCCCCCTGCGCCGCTCTATTGTAGGCGTCGCGCGAGGGACCGTGCGGTCAGCGGGGGCTCCTCCGCATCGATCTCGACCCGCCGATGCCCGCTCGAGCGCATGGCCAAGGAGGCTGCTCGGACGTGCGCGGCGCTCGCGGAAATTCGTAGCCGGCGCAACGAAAGGTCGGAGGATAAATCACGCGGCCGCACTTGCCTCGGCGCGCCGCGTCACCTGCCATTTGCAGCGTGCAGCTAACGAGTGTGCATAATAGAGAGACGGACGTGTGTGAGTGTGCGAGCGGGCTGGGGGGGGCAATGAGTAACGGCGTCTAGCTCCCCGGCAGCAGCACTGCCAATCGATTCTCGCCAGCAGCAGCAGCAGCAGCAGCAGCAGCAGCAGCAACAGCAGTAGCCAGACGCTCCGTTTGATAATTGTAAAACCGAGAAAAATAAGCCGAGGAGAGAGAGAGAGAGAGAGAGAGAGAGAGAGAGAGAGAGAGAGAGAGAGAGAGAGAGAGAGAGAGAGAGCGAGCGAGCTTTAATCGGTCTGAATTGTCGGCCGCTGGAAGACGACCAATTGCTGGCGACGCTCGAGCGCGCACCAAATTATTAAGCGTCGCGGCTCGTCCCGCGGGGCTTTTTCAATTGACGCTGCTGCCGCCGCTGCTGCGAGCAATTGACGCGCTCTCACGAACGCGCCGCGCGCTGCCACCGCTCGATCGAACGATATTTCGGCGTGCGAGGCGTCGCGCTCGAGTCATGTGCTTTCTCCGACCAACAGCTGCTGCCGCTGCCGTCGGCGCACGCAACGCGCGCGCTCGGTGACTCAGTGCGCCGCGCGTTGATCGAGGCGCGGCGAACCGATAGGCGAGCCTCGCGCTTTTGTTTGCTGCTGATTATCGCGCGCCGCCGCGTCGACAAGAGACGCCGCTCTGTCGCGCGCGATCGAAGCCGCCGCCGGCGTCCGGTCGCTTTGCATCTCGTCGCTCGCTCTTTCTCCGCGGCGCCTCCCCGGGCGCGTCGTCCCGTCCCGTCCCGTCCGTCTGTCTCTCTCCCAGGAATAAACTTGCCGCCCCCTCGCGCAACGCGCGCGCGTGTCTGTCTGGCGTCGGAGTAATGGGCACGGCATAGCTGCAGAGCCACCCTCGACTGCAGCGCAAGGCCTAGGCACATGGATTTTTCGGGCTGCCCCCTCCGCGGCCTATCTCCCTTTTTCCCATGCCGGTGAGCCCACCCGCAGCCCGATGCGCGCCCCGACCGATCCACCAGCGCCGGATAGGCCGCTGCACATGGCTGCCCGACGCGCGCTCGGCTTCCTCGAACGCGAGTCGGTGCGTCGCGCGGGCAAGTCCGACGCACGGGGTCGCAGAGACCTGCCGCGCACGTGCTGCCGCCGCTTGGAATTCCGGACAGTCGCACGCTTTTCCTCAATTCTACCTACGTTCCCTTCCAGAAAGAGAGAGAGAGTGCGGACGCGTTGGTTGGCTCGATCGAGCTGCGCGTCGGCTTTCACGTACGGTAAGAGAGAGAGAGAGAGAGAGAGAGAGAGAGAGAGAGAGAGAGAGACAGAGAGACAGGTGGCCGAGAGCGAGAGAAGACGGAGCAAGCCAGACCCGACAATCAGTCGGCGGCGGCCCAATGAGCGCACACCTGCACCTCCTCGTTAATTCGCCCCTGCCGCGGCGGTGGCGTTTTTTGCGCCGCTCGGGGGCGCATTTGAATGTCGGGTCTGATTATAGGTAGTCACCTAGCAGATATAGGCGCCGAGGCGATCGCGCGAATTTCCGAGAAGCGGCGATCGTGTGAAAGGTCGCTCGCTGCGCCGCCGCCGCTGCTCCTCCCACGACGACCGGAGAATCCGAATTCCAGCCGGACGACACATGCGAGAGAGAGAGCCACGCTGCTTTTAATGCCTTCCACGAAGAGAAGCCTGGCGCATCCGGAATTGCCAGAAGAAAAGAGACCGAGAGAGAGGACTAATTTTCAAATTTGGCAACGCCGAGGGACACTGCGTGTTCCGCCGCCGCCACTCCGTGATTTGGCAACACGGCAGCGTTGCGAGAGCTCGGAGGCGGCTCTCTCTCTCTCTCTCTCTCTCTCTCTCTCTCTCTCTCTCTCTCTCTCTGTCTGTGTAAGTACCAAAGACTGACTCGGCGCGATCGTGCTTCGTCCGCTCACGGGCTATCGCAGCTTTTTTGTATCTGCCGCCGCCACCACCGCCGTATCGCCGACGTCATGTCACTTTTTGTTTCTGCGCGGCCGCGGCGCTGCTGCAGCTTTTAGACCGTAAACTTGACGTTTGTTTTTTGCCGCTCGTATCATCCGCGAGCCTCGACTTTTACGTTTTACGTGGCAGCGTCTCTCGCGCGTTTAACATGCCCGACGGGCCGTCGCTGGGGTGCATTCCGGCAGCCTGAAATCTTCGCTTTTTGCCGACGACGCGGCCGGCGTCGCGGCTGCCCGCCGAGGTGGGTTTCGGGTACCGAGGCGCGCCGCGCTCGCTTTTTATCCGCAGCGGCCGGCGCAGCCGCGCAGGAAGCGAGCTGCTCGAAGGGAGAGCGAGCCGCCGCGGCACTCCTACGCGCCGCGCGCGGTTTCGGCGCCGGAGAGCGCGTAGCGAGACAGATTCAGGTTGCCCCGCTTACTGGCGGACGGGGCGAGCCGAGAGCTGCATGGGAGCGCTGAGGCGAGCGAGCGAGCGAACGAGCGAGCGAGCGAGCGACAGGCCCAGGGGACGCCGACGCCGCGCGCCGTCGAGAGAGGAAGCCGGCTGAGAGGAGGGGAACGCAGACCGAGCCGAGCCTTCAGCCCTTCGATTCTCGAGAGAGCAAAGCCAGCCAGCGGCGATGTACAGTCCCGCGCACAAACTAGCGCTCGCGCTCTCTCTCTCTCTCTCTCTCTCTCTCTCTCTCTCTCTCTCTCTCTCTCTCTCTCTCTCTCTCTCTCTCTCTATCTCGGGGCGTACAGTAGCGACAGCAATTTTCAAGCCGACCACCGAAGGAATTCCCCGCTGCTCGACTTTTGCACGCCCGTCGTTGCCGATGCTCGCCAACTATTTCGATGATTCGACCTCGCCGTCGCCCGTTGCCCCACAACTGCATCCACCAACTTGTCAAATCGGCGGGCTTCGAAGGCGATAAAAAAAATTAAAAAAGAACACGGAAAAACTGCTCAAAGGGAAACGGTAATTGGAGGCAGTGCGGGAGCGAGAGAGAGAGAGAGAGGTGAACGGCTGGTGGCCTTGACTGATAAACAGTCGAGTTCCGACTCGCGCGCCGGATAAAAAAAAAAGGAAGAGGGCGAAAAGCGAAAGAGGCAACACACAGGAAACGCCAGACAGAATAGTCGCCCGCTCGCGCACGATGGATCGCGTTATTGAAAAATCGTCGGCTCTCCGCCATACCCAGATACACAGTTGTTTACGCGGCGAGAAAACAATTTCGATGGATTTATATGGCTCGGCGTCCGTGCTTTTCTTTTTTTTTTTTGTTCCTCTCGCTCGCTCGCCGCGCGATCGGGGTAATCGCTGTCGCGTTATTTTTCCGTTTTTTGCCTCTTTCCTCGTTTGCGGCTCGAGCTCGCGCGCAAGTAACAAATAATAACAATCAGTCTCCGGCGCGGCCAGTTTCCCCGAGAGCTAATGGACGCGGTACTTTGGCCGGGCGCAATTGCTAGCCCAGACGGTCCGACGAATTTCGCGCGGAGGTAGCCACGGTCAACTTTCAGCAAAGTGAAATGCGACTCGACAAAGCGACAGCGCGATATAGTCGAAATTCGGAAAAAGGGCGCGGGGTTAGAGAGTGAGAGAGAGAGAGCGCGCGAGGGACGCTAGTAAAGCCGCGGCGCTAGGAGGGCAGACACGTCCCGCTGGCTCGACGCCGCCGCCTCGAGTCGTCGCAAATATATGCGTGTCAGTGAACGCGCGCTCGCGCCTATCGCGCATTCCCCATCGCCGTCTCCTTCGAAACTTCCCCCTCGGGCTCACCCTTTCGGGACCCTCGCGCGCCCAAGGCGGAAGGCCGCCGCCGCTGCCGCCGCGCCACCCTCGAAATCGAGATGGCAACGCGAGGAGGGAGCCGACGGCCGGGGAGAGAGCCGCGTACGCGGGCGCCCTGATAAAAACCAGCGCTGCAGCTACAGCCAAGCGGAAAATTTACTGCACCTTTTCGACCAGCCCGTTGGGCTTCCTTCGCGCCGCCTCCGTTCCTCGCGATTTATCGGAGCGCAGACCGACGCTTCCACGGCCTCGCTGAGGATGCACTAGCATGCACGGCGCGCGCACTTTGGGCTCGCGCGAGAGGGCAGGGAGGGCGAGCACTCACCGTGATGCGCTGGGCAGAGGTCATCACCGGCGCTCCTGCCAGAGGTCGCGGTTGAGCGCCAGCCGTGGCGACTTGAGCTCCAGCCGGTCGAGCGCGAACTTGGAGATCTTGGTGCAGCCGTAGAGGTCGATCTGGCGCAGCCGCGGCAGGTGGTCCAGGATGGCGAAGACGCTCCGGTCGGTGAGCCGACTGCACTGGCCGACGAGCAGCGTCTCGAGGTCGCGCTGCGCCTTGACCAGCCGGCAGAGGCCCTCGTCGCTGACGGGACAGGCGGCCATACTGAGGCTGCGCAGCCCGAAGAGGCCCTGGCTGAGGTGGGCCAGCGCCTGGTCGCCCACCTTGTCGCAGAAGGACACGTCGAGGCTGGCCAGCCGCGAGCCGCCCTCGGCCAGGTACGCCAGGCCCAGCTCGCCGATGCTGTCGCAGCTGCGCAGGTCGAGCTCGCGCAGCGCCTGCATGCGCGCCACGTGCTTCATGCCCAGGTCGGTGACGAGCACGCAGAAGCTGAGGTTGATGGAGCGCAGGCTGGCCGCCAGGCCCACGGCCAGGTGGCGCAGGCCCTCGTCCGTGACGCGCTGGCAGTCCTGCAGGCCCAGGTGCTCGAGGCGCCGGCAGCCGGGGCGCGCGCCCCCCTCCTGGCCCGCCTCCGGGCCCGGGCCCGCCAGGTGCGCCAGCCCCTGGTCGCTCACCAGCCAGCAGCTGCGCAGGTCCAGGCGGCGCAGCATGGGCAGGCCCCAGGCGATCAGCCGCAGGCCCTGGTTGGTCACGTTGCTGCAGCCGCCCAGGCGCAGCACCTGCAGCCCGCGCAGGTGCTGGCCGATGCGCCCGAGGCTCAGGTCGGTCAGGTTCTTGCAGAGGCTGAGGTCCAGCTCGGCCAGGCCCGGGTAGTCCTGCTGCAGCGCGCTGCCCAGGCTCGCGTCCGACAGGTGGTAGCAGCCCGACAGGTCGAGCGCCTGCAGCTTGGGCACGCCGCGGAACACGTCGCCGAGGCCGTGGCGGCGCGTCGTCACCGACAGCACCTGCACGCGCCGGATGCCGCGCCGCTCCAGGCACTGGAACACGGCCGAGCTGTGCTTGCGCAGGTGCAGCCGCGCCTGCACGCCGCGCCAGGCGCTGCGGTGGTAGGCCGCCTCGCGCCACGCCGCGCACACCTGCGCCGCGCGCCCGCGGTCGCGCACCTCCAGGTTGCTGAAGATCTGCGCCAGGATCTCGGGGTACAGGCGGCTCACGTGCGTGCTCACGGGCGCGGGCTCGGCCTCGGGCCGCGGCCGCGCCGCCGGCGGCGGGCCCAGGCCCGGGCCCTGGGCGCGCGGCGCGCGCGCCCGCGGCTGCTGCGCCGGCGCGCTCGCGGCCGCCTGGCCGGGCCGGCCCTCGGCGCCCGCGCCGCCCACGTGGCCGGGGCTGCCGAGGCGCGCCAGGCCGCCCGGCACCGTGCGCAGCAGCACGCTCGTGGCCAGCGCCTGCTGCTGCTGCTGCTGCTGCTTGGCGCTGAGCGTCAGCTCGAGCGGCGCCTCGGCGCCGCTGCCGCCGGCCGCCTTGAGCTTCTTGTGCGGCGGCTGCTGCGGCTGCTCGGCGCCGGCGGCGCAGCCGCCCTGCTGCTGCTGCTGCTGCTGCTCCTGGCTCGCCAGGCCCAGGTGCGGCCGGTGCAGCTGGTAGCAGTGGCCCGACCGGTGGATCAGCGTCGTCGTGCCGTGGCTCGACGTCAGTCCCGGGAGCTTCGTCATTGGCTTCGCTGCGTCTGCCGCGGCGGCGGCGGCCGCCGCTGCTGCTGCTATGCTGGGCTCTCGCTGGCGCTGCTGCGGCTGGCTGTCCTGCGCGCGATCGACCATCGGTTCCGCGGCCTGGCGCGGCCTACGAGCTCGGCATGGTCGCGCGCGCTCGGGGGTCGGCCTCGTCCGTGCGTGCACCCGGTCCGCCTCGCACCGTCTCTGCGGACGCGCACTCGGCCGCGCACTACCAACACACTCCGTCCGCAGTCCTGCTCTCGCTCGGGCGACGACTCGCCGACTCGCCGACGACTCGTCTACTCTCGCTGCGACTCTGCCGCGGGCGCGCGATCGCGTCAACTCACGTGCATGCCGCCGCTGGCATTCGCGCTTGCGATAACGGCCGCCGGATACTCAGCGGAGGGCCCGTCTCATCGTCGGCCGGCGCTGCGACGCTGCACTCTGCTGCCGTGGACCGAGGGGGAGAGAGAGAGCGACTCGCTCGGGAGGCCAGTGGAGCTGAGAGCGCGGGCTAGGCGAACCGTGCGAACGCGCTTCCAGCCGCGGACTGAACTGCTCTGCTCGGGCGAGCAGAGCCCGAGAGTCGAGAGCCGAGGCGAGGCGCCGCGTCGCCGCCGCCGCCGCCGCCGCCGCCGCCAGTCGCCACGGCGGGGAGGGGGCACGCTGGCGTGCGCTGCCGGCCGCGGGGCGCTCGGTCGGTAAGCTCTCGGGCCGGAGCCTGGCGATCCAGCCGGCAGGTGGCAGCGGCGCGGGGGGCGGGCTCGGGCGCGCCGATTGGCCGGGCGTCGGAGCGTCGGCGCGCCACGTGATCGCGGCCGCGACTATCGATTCGGGTCGCGCTGCGGCGGCATTTTTAAGTTTTCGCTGGCAGTGGGGCGGGGCCTCGGACTCCGCAGGCCGGCGCGCCTGTGTGTGCCCCAGCAGCGATAACGGCGCACACGCGTGCACCGGGCGCGTGCCGCTGCCCGTCCGTGCTGCACGTCCTGTCGGGGCCTGCTGCATCTCTCTCCCTCTGCATACATTGCTGCGCCTAGTCGACCGAAATCGAAAGCAAACGGGGCCGATGTGTATTATGCAAATGGCGCGCGTCGCTTATTTGCAAATTTCAGTTTACCCTCTACTCCGAATCGACGCTCGCGCTCGCCTCGTTGTACGGAATTGCTGTATCGGGCCTGCCTTTCCTATTTTATTACCGCGAGCCTGGCCGTTTTATCAATCTTTGTCGGCATATCGGAAGATAACGCTCCTCCGACGTTTCGTGCAAAGTAGCAAATGCCGATTCTGTCGAGTAGTGGATAATGCTACGCCGTTGAGCACGCACGCACACATCGAAGGAAAGTGGACGTAACGAGGGAATCGAGATGATTTCACGAAAAATTAAATGTTTCGCGTCTTTTCGTCCGACGAACTAGTCCATCGAGCGTTCGAGCAGAATGTCAAGGTTGTGTTGTAAGCCGTCTACAGGCATAATATAGCATACATACGTCTGACATGTGCAGACTAAAAAATTAAAATTAACAGCCTGGTAGTTTTCCGGAGCTCTTGATAATTGAGCTTTCCCACGACTTTCAACAAAATGTTGCGTTCGCCGTCGATCGGTCGAACGAATTTAAAGGCCTTGGAAACAAACCGAACAGTCTGGCAAATTCGTAGCTATCGATAATTTTCACGGTACCGTCGAGGGAGCAGCTGTTCGGGCTGTTCCGACGTCAGACGTCGACAACGTCGCGAGCACCAAGCAGCAGCTTTGCTCGTGCAGGCGCGAACGACGATGGGTGTAATAATTGCACCGGCGATCGACAATGTATGCCGGCACGACACGAGTCTAATGGCAGCCTGCAAATGAGCTACGGCGGATAAAGCGGCGCGGGGCAAAGTAACGCGAAAGCATAGCGATTAGCGCGGCAGTCGTCGTGTCGAGTGGGCGAAACGCGTTTCGTTTCACACGAACCGCCCTGTCGCTGTTGGCGCGCGGCGCGCCAAAAGTGCATGCAGAGCGTCCGCGTGAACGGGTCGCTCGCACGCACGGGCTCGCCGACCGACGGGCAGCGCTCTCCGTACTGGAATTACGCCTGCACGATGCCTTCGCCTTTCGCACCTGCGCCTACGTCTCGGCAGCACGCTCTCGCGCCGCGTCTCCGCGCGTTTCGTCGTTCGCTCCGATTTTCACGGCGTCGTGTTCTCGCGGCGCGCAGCCGGGTCTCTCCGAATCGCGAGTTTCGCCGGCGTAGCCTCTCGCCGAGCGCGTAGGGCTTACGGTGTTACTCACGGCCGCGGACTAATGCCGGCGAACCCGAAAACGCCCCCCTACACTGTGGTCGTCGAGCTCCCTCCATTGTCGTTCCGCGGCGATCCTTATACCTGCGCCGAGCGTCTCATTATTCCGCGCGGGGATTTCCTCTTAGGCTCGTTTCTCGCTCCCGCCGTTCCCTCGATCGCGAGCCGGCTTAGCGTGGCAGTCTGCTACGCGCCCGCGATGATTTACCGGCCGTCATTTGCCAACTGTCCAACGTTGAGCCCGCTGCCGCCGAGTAATCGGTCGCACTGCGACGCGAGCCGCGAGCCGCGCGCGCCGTTTGGATCCGTGTCAGGGAGAACGCGACTCGAGGATTCCCATCCGGCGGAAAAGACCGCGGCGGCGCATCTTCGCGCACCGTTAGGCCGCGCGATTGCGTTTCCCGAGCGGATCGTCGCGCCGCGGGCGCTCGCGCGGCTACTCGTTACGTGTGGCTGCTGCGTGCGACGCCGCGTTACCTCGCATTCGGCCGGCGTACGCGCCGATCCTGCAATCCATTTCGCCGCGATTGGTCCCGGCTCCGCATTCGCACGGCGACCGCTGCTCCCGGGCGCGATCGCGGACGCAAGTGCGCCTCCCTCAAGACGGATGTCCCTCTGCTAACGAGACCCGGGAGGGGGCTTTGTCGGGCGGAGAAGCGCCCTTTTCCGACGGAACGGATTTGCCGCGAGACGAAGCTAGCCCCCCGCTGGGTCACTCGTCCGCACCGTCGGAGACGCGCAGCCGTTTCGCGATCGCGGAGGCGAGCCGAAGCAGGCTGCTACGGCCGCGGCGACGGGTAAGGCGCACTAACGAACGGCGCAGCGCGGAGGCGCGAGAGTGTGCTAATTGAGTCGGCACGGGCTGCAATTAGACAAAGGAGCTGCTGCCGTGGCCGCGCACACGCATAAAAGGCGAGCGAGACCTTGTCGCGGGCCGATGCTCCTTCGCCGACGATCAAACCAAGTGGTGCGCCACGCAGACGGGCAGGGAGAGAAGGAGAGCGGCCAGATGCCGAGGGACAGATAGCGAATCGAGAGCGAGCGAACGAGCGAGAGAGAGAGAGAGAGAGCCGCGCGCCGCGCGTACGCCTTTCCCCTTTTCGCCGACGGCCGGGCGGAAAGGGAGCGAACACTCGGTCGCGCAGTCGCGCCGCGAGAGCACGCGACCATTTTCGCGCTCGCCGATGGCTCGAGCGCAACCTGGAGAACGACGCCGTGCGAGTCGCAGTTGGCCGTACGTGGGCAGTGACCGGCATCCGCGAAGCAGTGCTGCCTGTTGTGCGCCTACGAACTGAACGTAAGTCCAGCTAACTGTTGCTTTGCGAACGCCGCGCGTACCTGCCGAACGGTGTCGTGCGAAAATAGAGGATTCGGCCATTAGCACCGCGAGGCGCGCCTGTCATAGGCATCTCACCTCGGCGAAATGCAGCGGTCCGAGCAAGATCGCGGGCTTTACCGCTGGCCAATCGATCGGGCGATCGATTATTGGCTTGCACGTGCGATTTCGCGATCACGATGGATCTTCGCGGTCGGAGCCTTGCTTCTCTCTCACTCTCTCGACAATTTATACGTCGGCGGCGGAACGAAAGCCCGAGAAGAAAGAGCGCCGCGCGCGAACCGCTGTTTCTTTTTTATCGTTCACAGGTACGCTGCCGGTGCCGGTTTCTTTCGGCAGCCGGCTCTCCATTGATATCAGCCGCTCTCGATTAGACAATGCCGCCGCCGGCCGGATCTCGAAATATGCAGCTGCGCTCGCAGCCGGTTTTCATTCGCGATTTACGACGGTGACCAAGTGGTCGCGCACGCGGCACTCGTGTCCCTGCCATCTCTACCGACGACGGCCAACGAGCCGTTCGCTCGGCGCTCCCATCCACTTCGGGAAAGTCGTACCTGCACGCGCGCGCGTCTCGCGCGGACACGAATTTTCGAGAGCGCTCCGATGGGAAATCAAACAGGCGTGGAGCTGCGCCACGGAACGGATATTTGTACTGGGCGTGCACGTATCGCCAAGCGCACACAGAGAGAACAAATGTCGCGGTGCCCACCTGGCTGGCGAAAATAGTACGGCGAGAAGGTGAACGGCCGGCGTGAACTTGCTATCTACTGCCGCGCGGCGCGACTCGCGATCGCGGGGCGTTGCGCAATCCGCGCGAGGCGATCGGCGGGGCGCGCGATCGCGACCAGCGCAACGGCTCAATTGCCCCGAGTGCCGCGTGTGTTTGCTCTGCGCTCGCGGCTGTAGCAAGCGCGGACCCTTTGAGGCGCGCCGACGCGTCGACACAGCAGTCGCGCTATCTGGCACAGAGCGACCAACCTTCGCTCAAGTTTCAGTGCGCGGCCAGCGATCGGCCGTCCAAGAGGATCCGCGTCAACTCTCGCCTGCGCCATATCGCCGAAACTCGTCGCGCAGCATGCTGCTGGGATGCTGTCCGGGCGCCACGGGCCCGAGCGCTGCGCCAACTCGCAACTGCCCGCCTAGGACCGACCGGCTGTAAGGGCGAGAGGACGAGCTACAGAGCGGACCGTCGTCGGTTCGTCGTCGTCGTCGTCGTCGTCGTCGCAGTCGCCGCCACCGCTTCGCCGCGGCCATGCCCGGCGCAATGCTTCCCGTGAGTACTGCCGGCACCTGTTGCTGCCAGCGCTCGCGGCGACGTAAAAGTGTGGCGCGCGCCTCTGAGTTTTCAGGTGAAAGCTGGCCTTGGCCGCGCTCGCGGAGCCACGGGCCTGCTGCTCTCGCTGCTGGTGCTCGTGGCTAAGCTGGCGCTGTGCTCGCGCACCACTGGCACCTGGATGTGAGTATGCATTCGATTTGCGTCCTCGTTCGGCCGCGCCTTCGCGTTTCCCCCGTCGGACCGGAGCGGCTGGTCCTCGCCAACAGCCGTCCGGGCGAGCGTCCACTCTCGCGCGGCGAACGTGGACCGAGCTAACTGAACGGGACGCCTGGTCGCACAGACACGCGGGACTGCGCGGCGGCTCGCTGCTGCTGGACCGGTCGGCCAACAGGTCGCTGACGGGCGGCCTACTGGACGTTCGCCGCGCCGAGCCGGCCGCGCTGTGCGCCGCGCTGCACGGCCTGTCGCGCGGCCAGCTGAAGCTCTGCCAGCTGTCGCACGACCACATGCCCAGCGTGGCCCGCGGCGCCAGGCTCGGCATCCACGAGTGCCAGCATCAGTTCCGCCAGCGCCGCTGGAACTGCTCGACCGTCGACGACGAGAGCGTGTTCGGGCCGGTGCTGGACAACGGTAAGTGGCCGACGCGGCCTCCGGGCGCCGCGCGCCCGGACAGCCCGCCCGGTCCCTCAGCATTGCTTTGCCCTCTCCAGCGAGCCGTGAGACGGCCTTCGTGCACGCCGTCAGCGCCGCCGCGGTGGTGCACTCGATCGGGCGCGCCTGCCGCGACGGCCAGCTCTCCTCCTGCGGCTGCTCCAGAGGTGGCCGACCCAAGGACCTCAATCGTCAGTGGATCTGGGGGGGCTGCGGCGACAACCTCGAGTACGGCTACAAGTGAGTGCGCGAACGCGGAGCGGGGACGCGCCAACGACCCAACTGACGCTGCTTTCGCAGGTTCTCCCAGTCGTTCGTGGACGTGCGCGAGCGCGAGCGCGGCCACAAGAGGAAGAGCCGCGAGCACGCCAGGAGCCTGATGAACCTACACAACAACGAGGCTGGTCGCAGGGTACGTATCTCCCCTCTTCCTTCTCGCTCCTTCGTTGCTCGACCGAGTGGGCGCCTAAAGGCCGACTGCTTCCAGGCCGTCATCAGACGCTCCAAGGTGACCTGCAAGTGCCACGGGGTCTCCGGCAGCTGCAGCCTCATCACCTGCTGGCAGCAGCTCGCGCCCTTCAGAGACATAGGTGCGTGCATTTACTCGATTCCGACTCTCTGTTCAAATGACGAATGAGCGTTTATTTAACGTAATAAAAATGGTATCACAATCCATACGACGATATGCGCTTACACACCCACAGCTTTTACTTGCCCCTCTATCCTATTATTACACCTGTGCTGGCGGCTCGCGGTCGACAACCTGGTAACATCATCGACAAGTCTATTCATTTATACAGCTTAGAACGCTATCATTACAGAACGTATCTGCAATTTTTACATTTCTTACAAAAGAGATAAATTTACAACCTTATCGAAGCTGCCAAACGCAACCATCTACTCGCGCGGTGATCATTTTTACAAAAGGTACCTATAATATTTCTACCCCCTACGAGCTACGTCTTTCTCACGCGGCATCGCCTTCTCTTATTATTCAAATGAATAGAAAAAAGCGATTGTTCAAGTGACAACGAATACAAATTCACTTGTTTTTGCTCAATGTAATCTGCAGGAAATTACCTACTGGACAAGTACGACGGAGCAACCGAGGTCAAAGTTAACCGGAAAGGTCGCTTGTCGATCAAAGATCCACGTCTCTCTTTGCCCACTGCCAACGACTTGGTCTACCTTGACGACTCGCCCAATTATTGCTTTGCTAATTCGTCACTCGGATCATTCGGTAAGGATACGTATATTGCCTTGCTTTGTCCTTTTGGCAAATGTCTTTCAAAACAACCATTGCTAAGTATGAAACTTATGGAGCTTCGCGCTATATTAAAAAAATTCGGATTCATTCGACGCGATTGTTTGACACTTTTCCTTCGGAACTTTTGCGCGTCGCTGTCTCGCGCGAACACCATGCTTTCGTTAGATTTTACGAAAAAATTTAAAAAGTTCACTAATATACATAAAAAAAGATTTGTACAATTGCTTACAAGACTGATTCGGACTGGATTTCGTAACGGCGACTAATGAAAACATGGCGCTCACGTCGTTCCCTTGTCCAAGCAGCGCGCATGTGTTTAAAAATCAATTTACAAAGTTACAACTACAGCGTAGACTTGAACGGGTTTCTATTTGCGTTGATTTCTTGTTTGCGTTATTTTTTTAGGTACTCGCGGAAGAATCTGCAACAGAACGTCGTCCGGCATCGACGGCTGCAATCTTCTGTGTTGTGGTCGCGGTTACAATACGCAGAAAAGTGCGGTCGACGAAAGATGCGATTGCAAGTTCCACTGGTGCTGTCACGTGCAGTGCAGCAAATGCATCAAGAGCGTCGACTTGTACACCTGCAAGTGAAACTCTAGTGCGCGCAGCAGCTAGCCTTTTTTCTTTTTTGCTAGGATAAAATTAATGGATCAGTCTTTAGAATCTGCACGTTTGCGTGCACACGGATTTTCACTATAATGATGTTCACCGCCTTATTTTAAATTTGACAATTTGCGGCGATTTACAATGAACTGAGCTTGTTTGAGCAACCAATAACGTAGTATAGTCTAACAATAAACAACATTTGTTTGCTTATTGATAATTTTTAAGCATAAGAAACCTGCACAATTCTGAGTATTATCGACTCGTATACTGATCTACCACGCTAAACACAAAGGTAAGACAGCCAAACGACACTATTGATCCGTGATCGATCATGGCACTACCTTCCCAACCTTGATTCATGTAATTACTACCGCTATACCTCTCCATTCTCTTAGCGCACTTGCAATTGTACATCTTCGGTACACTATTTTCTGTTGGATGTCTATTCCTATTTGCTATTTTTTTTATTATATCTACCATATCCTGATCTCTCACTTTTGAAGATTGGCCATCCTTTGGACTATCCGAGAACTCAATATCGTCTGGATGTATACTGTAATTGCAGGAGTATAAAACATTATCAACAAACGTTCCATGTTCACTGTAATTCAACAGTTCATAACGTTGAGTGGTCTGTAAATATTTACATTATTATTACTATAAAGTGCAATGATAAATATATATATTTTATACTATGTATACTATTTTTGGTGTTTGAAATGCAGAACATTTTTTGTCAAATATACATTTTACATTTAACGCTATACAACAAATAAATATATAAAATACCATTAAAAAGCCAAATTTACCTCATCGAAAAAAATCACAGCATGTTTGGTAGATAAAAAACCACATGGACCATATTGAGTAAGTATCATGTCAGAATCACCACCAGTTCCAATATTCAAAGTCTTAGTAGTTATAAATACTGGAGGACCTAGAGTTTTTCCCAAAGGAAACAATAGAGCTTTTGCTTTTCCTGCACGATTGAGTATCTTATAAGAATCATCGCCAGGATTCAATATTTGCTCTAATCTCTGTTGAGCTAATGCTTCCAACACTGGTCTTTCTAAGAGACTAATTCCTTCTTTTAGATTTACACCTAAATTACTTCTTAGAAAAATGTTGTCTTCCATTTCTCTATCACTTTCACATTTTTTTTCATCGCTCAACTCATTCGTCCTATCATTTTGTACTATTTTTTCTCTTTTGTCTGCTTCATCTGTGCACTGCTTTATCTCCTTTTCTTCTTCAACTTCCATTTTTTCATTTTGTTCATTTTTCTCTAACAAAATGCCATTATCTCTTGATTTGATTTCTTCTACATCTGGCACCACACTTTCACCGTTTTCCTTTTGCACATTTTCACATTCATCCTTAGAACTATCTGTACAAGATGAATTTTTCGCAGTTAGATATATGAAATTAGTAGATCCATACTGATTACAAAGTTCAAGCTCTGTTGGATTTGCGTAATGAAATTTTACAGTAGGTGGAACTTTCACTCTAGACTTTTGATTGTGTTGAACTTTTATTCTAAATGGAGGATTAATTGCATGTGCTTTTCTTAAAAACTGTAATTTTACTGCATGTTGATCAATCCTTTGATGAGCAAACTTATCCCACAATTTTATTCTCTCTGTGGCAGCACAAGAAGTCAAAAGGTTTTGATCGATAAAATGATTTGAATGATTTGGACACATCCACCGACCACTTGGAAAAGCAGTTAATGGAGGATCTAAGCAGTCTTGATGAAAATATAAAGGGCAGTAGTCACATGCAATAAGAGGAGCCTTTCTGCAGCTTCTTCCACATTCAAAACAAAGACGAGCTGGCAGTGGAATAATTGATCCATTTTCATAATAATGAATTTTACCTATAATGATAAAGAATTATAAATTTTTAATATTACTATGAATATAATTGACACTTAACGCAAATCTTAACTACTTAAACAAAAGAAAGTTAACCATTTAGGTTATTCGAGTTACTAGGCCTTCCTCTTTTGCAAGAAATAGGATCTATTTTATCTGTTCCAGGAAATGTAATTGGTAATTGTAATTCTCTAGGTAAACTAAATTCTTTAGGATTGACTAATGAAGCTGCAAAGGCTAGAACTTCTAGGGCAGATTTTTTCTTTTTTTTTTGTACAAGGATACTTTCTTTCTTTGAAGCACATCGACAAGAATGACAAACCCATTGCCCATTAGGAATATCTGATAATTCCAAGGGAGGATCACTGTAATAAATAATAAATATTATTGTTCACATCACACATGAATTATTAACATTTCACATAGATGCTCTTACTGGCATCGAAGATGGAAAGATGCTGGACATTTGTCACAACATATTAATTCTCCACCATCACGACAAGCATCACATGAATCTCTATTATGACCACGTCCAGGCCTCTTGAAATATACATGCCTTCTCTCTTCTCTTTCTTTTTTAAATTTTAAAGAATCATCTGAACTAGGTGGAGCAATCAATGCCTGTATTTGCTACAAAAACGTGCAAAAATCAATAAATGATTTCAAGAGTTGTATTATTTGATAAATAAGAAAAGAGTTGAAACTTACTGGCATCAGTCCACCAGAATCTATATCATAACCAGGAACTTTACGAGACATGGCTTTGTTAGTATAACAAAATCCTCAGCTACTGATTGCTTTGACCAATAACAATAGCAATAAGTCTTCTTTTACAAAAACATTGCTTCAAGTTATGAAATCAATTTTCTTGTTTTCACTTATTTTTTGCTTCATGGAAATATATTCAATCATTTAAATATTATAACAATTATAATACATAAAAAAATTTCAATGTCTGACGAATTTTAATCGAATTATTGTAGGTATGTATAATGTTAAGTTAAGAGCAAAGCGTTACAAGTTTAATTCTGTTCTGGCGCTAACTTGTGGGTTAGTAGTTAGTATGTATGTACACTTAAAATGCGGGAGAATTTTTCTATATACACACTACACAATATTCGTTGAGCAACAACTGTTCAGGGAAGCAGCCTTCTTTACCAACGTGGTTGTAGCAGCGTCTATCAACAAATGTTATTTTTATTTTTATATAGTAAAAACTGTATACTATTTCTGGATAGAATTTCAACCGATTCAAATAAGTAACTATTTTTTATCTTAAATATTATGATTTTTATAGTTTATACACAAGTAGATTGATTTAAACTGAAAATAAGTAAAAACATTCAGTATACTCAGATATTCATGAACTCGTGATCGATATTTGATAGTATCGATAGCTGTTCTAATTTTGATTTTGAAAAATACTTGATATTCATAAACATTCTTTTTACACGTGCAATATTTATTTCCGCTGCGATTAAATCTTACTAAATTTCGGTTGAATTTTATTTCATAATAGAAATATATTAAACTTTATAACGTAAAGAAAGTCACTCTTTGAGTGGTCAAAATATTAATTATATGTAGAATGGCGTATAGAATAAGTAGAACGGCGTTTTTTTTTCTCGATATGCATACATGTGGCTAAGCAGGTTACCATTGAAATTATAAATTATATACTAATTACAGAAATTATATTTATTAAAAAGTATGGAAAATAAAAAATTTAGTTTTCAAAACTCATGTATGAATTATGATAACTCATTTAATTTTTTTATACATATATAATACACTTAAAATTATATAAGCATATAAATATTTGCATTTATTCACAATAATTTACAAATTTACAAATAAAAAAATTAATTATTTGTCATAACATATAAGCAGAATGCTAATTCTGATAACAAGTTTATATATATCTCTAACAATTAACTGAATTAGTACAGTTATTTTACATTATTAATCACCACAACTGGAGGACTGTCTGATAATTTCACTGGCCTTCTTCTACGTCGAATTACAATTACCTTTTTCACTGGTGTCAAAGAAAATTTAGTTTGCAATATATTTACACTTTTCGCAGCTGTACTATCTTCAAACGAACTTTCTGATTTTACAACAGATTTAGATAATTGTTCGTGTAACCTTTCATCAACTACAGGCTGTCCAGTATGATTCTTAATCAAATTATTCCTTACTTCAACATTTTCTTTTAAACATCCATTCTTTATTATAGTATTTGTTCCATTATGAAGCTCAGTTCTTTCCATATGTAATCTATTTTCGATGTCTATTTTATTTTCTGAATTATTTATTTTTAGGCAATTCTGGGGTGCTTGTTCTAATAAAATATTTGAAGTAGTTGGAATTGAAATAGATTTTGTTGAATTTTTTGCTTCAGTTTTTTCAACTTCTGTGCTATTAGTCTTCATATCACTGCTTTGATTTTCTTTTTCTATTATGGTATTTATCTTATCACATGGTTCAGAAACAGTTCTGTTTTCGTTGACTTCTGATAATACATTTTGCTTTGCAACGTTAACATCAATAGTTTCATTACTTTTATTAACTTTACATTTAATAGAACTTGTTTTATAGATAGAGATTTCTTTTTCTTTGATGATCTGTGATGATGTATTATTAATCTTATTTGCAATTTCTTTGAAAATTTCTGGTTTATTGTCTTTTAGAACAACTACTTCATTTTTACTAATTTTTTCATGTAATTCAATGTTCGTATTTTCTCTATATATGATGTTCTCCTCACTTTGGGAAAGTATACTGTATAAAGTACTATCTTTTATTTCACTATTACTCTTCGGAGCTAACTCTTCATTGTTTTTTTGGAAAGGTGTTGCCAGTTTACTTTCATTATTGCCGTTTTCAAAATTATTTTTCTCCAAGAAATTGATTGTATCTATGGGCTTATCTGTAGGTTGATTTTGTGCTGTATTCGGTACATTAAATGAATTCATAGACACATCAGAGTCCGTTAATTCACCATCTTCCAAATCAGACAAAATTGTTCTACTTAATGTCTCTTCAAACCTGTTTACTTGTTTCGAGATAGCTAAAGTATTTACAGAATTCTCTTCAACTTCAAAAAGTTCATTAATCAAAGTTTTTATTTTATTTACATGATGACTATCGTTTTTATCAGCATGAGGGCTTGTATATTTTACTTGGTTTTCATTTGAATCCTTTATTTGATCTTTTTCAGGATTAGTTAATTCATTCAAAATTTTATTTTGATTATTACCTAATAATTCTGTTGATTTCTCCTTTTCTTCTTTCACATTATCTTCAACGTTTCTTAAATTGTCTGTAACAGGTATCGATGTACTTTCGTTCAATGAAGTACTATTAATAATATTTTTTGCATCATCCAGTATGTTCCTTGCTTGAAAATTTGTTTTTAAAACAATTTTATTCGATTTAATATTACGACTGAGATCTTTATCTGGCGACATTTTCCTTCTCTTTTTACTGTGTTGAGGCTCGTCAGATCTCTCGTCAGATTGTCGTTCCTTTCTGCGTTTAGGACTTTTTCTTATAATTTTAGAATTTTTGTTTGGTTCTACATCTTTCAGTTTGTCATGACGATCCCTAATTTTTTCTTGAAGTTTAATTCGTTTAGGAGAACAATTGACTCTATTTTCATCACTGTGGCGACTGCTATTGCTTCTACTACGATTTTGAGACTTATTACGATATGAACTTTTTCGACGTTCACGCTCATGGCCAAGTTGATCGAGTCGACTACGTAAATCATTGCGTTTATGCTTATCGTAACTAATATGATCAATTTGATGCCGGTTAGATTTGGAACTAACATACTCGTGATAACGTATCCTGTGGTTGTCGTTGATCGTTTGAGATGTTATACGAGAGCTATTGATAAAGCGTCCACTGTAGCTATTATTATTCCTTTTGTCAGATTGATTTTTTTGAAACTGAAAATTTAAATCATTCGTTAGTATAATTTCAGAAAAATATTCAGAAAGAAATATTTATTAAATATCTTACAATATATAAAATGTAATATCTACTAGTATTCAAATTATTATATTTAAACTTTATAGAAAAACTGATTTACCTGTTTGGAGTTATCACTAGAGAAGTCTTTCAATTTTTCTTTGTGGCCGTGCAGTTTGTTGCTCACGCTCGGTTTCTCGTCTGGTATATTATTGAAAGACTCCGTTATTTCACCCTCTTCAGTTTCCTCGTCTGTCATCTTTAACATTTCTTCTTCTATTCTTTTTCTTTCTTTAATTAATTCTTCCAACTGTTTTTCATTCCGAGTTTTTTCAATTTCTTTTAGTTTTTTTGCATGATGTTCATCCTCTTTTTCTCTACTTTCATCCTCTTCTTTTCTTCTTCTCTTCTCAGTATCTTCTTCTTTTCTTCTTCTCTCAGTCTCTTCTTCTCTTCTCCTCCTTTCAATTTCTATTTCTCTTCTCCGCCTATCAATTTCATCTTTTCTTTTCCGTACAATCTCTTCCTCTTTCCTCTTCCTATCCATATCTTCTCTTTTTCTTCTTTCAGTTTCTTCTCTCATTTTCCTATACAGTTCTTCTTTCTTTTGCCTTTCAAATATTTCATCTTTTCTCCTTTTTTCAATTTCATCTTTTCTCCTCTTATCAATTTCTTCTTTCTTTCTCCTTTCCACTTCTTCATCTTTTCTTCTTCTATCAACTTCCTCTCTCCTTCTATCTGTTTCTTCTTTTCTATTTTTTTCAATTTCTTGATCACTTCTCTTTTCAATTTCATTCTCTCTCTTTCTGTTTTCAAATTTGTCTTCTCGTTTTACTTTTCTATATTCCTCTTCTTTTCTTCTTCTGTCTAGATCTTTTTCTCGTCTAATTCTTGATAAATCTTCTCTTGTTAGTTCTAGATCTCTTTGTTTTTCAAGTTTTATTGGTTCATCTTGTTTTTTTATATAAAAATCTTTTTCTTTTTTACTTTTAAAATCTCCATCTGTCCTTTCTTGATCCATGTCAACTTTCTTACTCATTAAATCTTCTTCATTCTTTTTTTTTGCAATGTCATTTTTATATTTAATATCATGTTCATTATTTTTCATCATGTTTTTGACTTCGGTTTTTTCATTCTTCAGCTCTTGTGTATGAGATACCATTGCATTTTGTACATCAATTTCATTTAGTTTCCAATTTCTAATTTCCTCTTTAGCTACTTTTATATTTGTTTCTTTCATCACATTGGTGGCCTCTTTATTTTTTGAAACATTAAGTTCCTTGTTCATATGTATATTCTGTGAATCTTTTAATTTCTCATTATCTAATTTCTTCTCAGTACCCTCCTTTCCATTTAAAAATGATTCTTGTTTTTGTTTAGCTGCATTTCTTTTCTCTTCTAATAATTTTTTACGCAATCTTTCTCCATAGATTGTATTTCTATATTCAGATTTTTTAACAATGTCATCATCAGATTCATCGCTACTATAGGAATTTTCTGGAGTAATAACATTTGAGGAGAGATTATCTATAAAACATTTATCAGATATATCTTTCTCTTTCCATTCTTGATTAGTAGTGAGAATTGAATGTATTGGAGGTGGTTGGAGGTTATATACATTTTTACTGTCTTGCTGTTCTGAAGACATTAAACTCATTGAAGGTGGAGCATGATTAAACTGATATAAATTTGGTGATTGAAACGCAGTAGTAGAATGCGCATTTACAGATAGCTTTAGTAAAGGAACAATACTACCATTTGTTTGACGATGATTTCTCTTAAATGTTAGATTATCTAACCTAAAAGAATACGTCGATAATGAAACTTTAAAAAAAAGTATTTTCAGGGATATAGATAAAAAAAATGTAAAAAGAACTTACTGGCTCCTTAATTCTGCAATCTGACGTTCCATTCTCTTTCTTTCTTGTTTGGCTGTTTTCCATAGAGAAGAATAATGTGATAATACTAATTTATGAACTCTTTCAAGTTTTAAAAGCTTTGTTCTTAATTCTATCGTATCTTTTTCTGATGAGGGTCGTTCTAGTTTATCCTGTAAAAATAAAATAATAACATTAACTTAAAAAATAACTCAAAAAATTTAACCTAAAACACTTACGACTTCAACATCCGCTTCATACTCTTGTTTCAGCCAGGCAAAGTCAGGTAGATCGGCATAAATATCAAAATCGTCCATTGTGCAAATCCAAGCAGCAAATATTCTGCATACTTTGGTACGAAGTGCACTGGTAAATTCAACAAAGAAGAGTAAATGTACACTCTGTCATATATTGCGCTAATATAGGTATCAAATTAACAGTCTACCATATGATCGTTTAGTTTCGCGCCAAAAAAGTTTGAGAACGCAACTGTTTACTGTTCCCTTAGTGTGGAAAGACCCTTAAGATGCGATGAGACGAAACGAGAAATAACACTGCGTCCACAATAGCATGTAATCATGGAGACTATATACTTCTATGTATATATGTGGGCGTTAATGGTCCTGGGGGAAAGTATCCAAGAACCTGGGAACCAGGGAGAGACGCAGAGAGAGAAGCAAGAGTTGCTTCTGGATGTGATTTATTAAGGCACTTTCCAACTGTCCAACCGTTGTGTTAGTTAGAGTGGTACTGACTACTGAGCGGCAAGCACTCGCAGCGTAGCTGCCTGCTAGTGGTGGTTCCCACTAGGCCGTTACGCCACCTATGGGGCATCTACATATACAATACATGTTCCGAAATATTTTTTTTGTAAATGCACCTTAAGGCTCAAGCGAAATCATAACCTCAAAAACTATGATAAGATACAGTGTACTAATGTGTATAATAACTAAATTTACTCACAAAAAAAAAGTTGTTTGAGATTCAAAAAACCCAAGATATTGTTGAAAATATAACTAATGTTACAACTAATGTGTCAAATATCTTAACATAATCTACATCTTCTGAGACAAAAGATTCATCATTTGATGATCTAAATGTTTTATTAATCTACCAGAAATTGAATAAATTTGAAAATATTGCGAATATGGGTTTACGATTTCAAGAGCTGTGCAGTTTTCAGTTCTGACAGTAAAATAATTTACTATTGATGCACTTTTTAGCAGAAGATTTAGTTTTTAATAAACAATACATAGTTTCAGAATGCTTATTTAATTAGCACTTTTGTTATGCAAATACCTAGTGAAAAAAAATTCTTTAATATTTATTCTAACAAAATCTTAATCTTATAATCAAAAAGACAACCACTAAAATATCAACTACCTTAATTTCATTCTTGATATGTTACTTTTAATCATAAAAAACAAAAAATATAGTCTACATTTGAAAATATTAACATGTAAACGTTAACATTTTAACATGTAAAAACGTTGAAGTATTTAAAATAAATATCTATTTTTCTTTGAGAATTGCTATATATTTTTCAGGGACTTATAATATATACAAATATATCCCTTTAAAGTGCCTTGTATTGCATTCAAGTATTTTTTGATATTTTATCAAATATTATGTTATCATAGTTTTTGAGATTATGATTTCGTTTGAACCTGAAGATGCATTTACAAAAAAAAAATATTTTGGAATACATTACTTGATCATCACGTATGTATACATGCTATATTATGGACGCAGTGTAAGAAATATAGGTATGAAAGAACTCTGTAGGAAATCGACAAAAATTGACCTAGAAAAATTATAGAAAAATTACGCATCATTGGCAAGGATAGCAACTCATTAATAATTCCGAGAAACTGCATTTTCGTAGCGTTTTAATTCGGTTTTTATAGAAATGAATTGACCCGGTAGCATTAATTACGCGCAATTTTTTCATCCAATGAAAATATTACAACCATCCGTTATAAAAAAATAAATATTATTTCTCATTACAGTGAAAGCAATAATGTACCTGAACAATCAGTAGGTAACGTAAACTCAAGAAGTAATGTTGCACATAGTAAATGTGCTCTGAAAAGGCATGAGTTATTTTTGAAATATTCAGCAATATCAACTATGTCAAATATTCCAAAATTTATTCTGATTAAAAAACCCACTATTAACAAATAGTTAACATTGACGGTTATTTTAGAAAATAACCCATTCCTATTAACATAACTCTTATAGGAGCGTAATTCCTCTGAGAATATATTGAGAAGTGTAGATTTATGTTACCGACTGATCTTTCAGGTGTATGTATTACTGTAATGAGAACTAATATCTATTCTTTAACGGATAATTATAACGATATGTATAGATTTGATTGTATAGAAAAATTGTGCGTTGTTTTCGCTAACGATTCAATAGATTTATTTCTATAAAAACCGTATCAAAATGCTACGTATATTCAATTTCTACTGATCTGGGCATGTTTTTTTGGAATTTTGTACATAAACAAAAAAGAAATTAGGCGGATTTATTAATGAATTTTATCCTTTTCAATCACGCGCAATTTCTCTATAATTTTTCGGAATATATTTTCGTCGATTACCCGCCGAGTTCCTTCATCCAAAATACGGAAATTAATATGAGAATTGAGAGATTTGTAAGTAAAAAAATTTACATGTAATAAACATGGGAAGAAATACATGGATTATTGTCTTATCAGTATTACGAATTACCGAATTAGTATTTGATTAAATTCCTTAAAATTACTTAAATCAATATTTTTGGATATTTTATATTCTTATTCTACAGTATTAACAGTCTGAAGAAAATATCTTTGAATTTAACGACAACGGGTTGTTTGTATGCAAGTCATCACGTAAACATTGTTGACGTTATCTGTGGAATAAGAAAACTTTAATGATTATCGATTATTCCTAGTGGCTGCTATAAATTACGGTAATCAGTGCTGAGTAAATTGCAATGAATTAGTAGATTGCAAGAGAAATATGTTCATTTCTTCGAGATTGTTATGAAATAAGCAGTTTGTACGTATCCATAAAATCAATAAGCAAGGAATAATGGATTGGTGGCGCGGCGTGTGCTCGAAATTACGCGTACACTTCGTGGAAAAACGGGACGAAAAGCTTAGTCTATTTCTTTTCATTACGTCTCAATAATTCTCCGTACTTCGAAATGTCGCTGTCTTGACATTGATCTAGCCCATTGTCCTATTGTCGCTATTCCAAGAAGTTTAATAACTCAAAATGCCGGCCTTGTGCAACATACGACGACAGACGACCGGCATTGCATTCATTTCCGATTCTTCGCGCACGCGCCTCTTCCTCTGCGAGATCAACCTGTGTGACGGTGGATTTTCAATGGATCCATTTTAATCCTTCAGCCACGCTGGATAGCTAGTAAATTCATCGTGAACAAAGAGCGAAATTAATTTGTACGTTTGCGCGACAGCACGTTCACTATTTAAAATCCTGGAAATGAGTCTGAACGTGCGTGAGGACACATGAAAAAATAACGTTACCCTGAGTCTGCCGGCGCACACGAAGACTGTTCGCACGCGCAGGTAAATTATATCGCGCAGTCGCGGCATTCGCATCCCGCGGCGGCCGGCTGCACAGAGACGGCGCTACGGTCGCGATTCTCTCGTTCGCGTATATCGCGCGGCGTGCGTTCGCCGCACTTCGCAGTCGCATCTTCCGAGCGCGATCAGTGCTGACGCGTACCGTTGGCTGGCTGGCCGTGTCGTCGACGATCCGAACGTTTCGTGTGTTTCGTACCGGCCTCGTTTTTTACCTAGCTTTTACTACACAGTAATATTGTATACTAGCTGCGCCGGGGACGGTTTCTCTTTCTACGTGCAACCGTCCATCGTTTGGCCTACCGTCCATGTATTAGTGTGTGTGTGTGCGTGCCCGCTTTTTTCTCGTCTACCTACTTGCACTGACGCACGATCGCGTGCCTGTGATCGAGTGGTGTGCAGGCGCGGGAGAGCTGTAGAGCCGATGTGGAAATATCGGGAGATCTGTTGTGCTGTTCGGTGGCGGCGCTAAGCGTTCAACGAGAAGAGCAGAGTGGCGAGTGGCGATCGGCTGGAACTGCGAGTGTGAGTGCGAGAAGCGGGGAGAGAGCGCGAGTGAGAGAGAAAATATGCAGCGTGCCTGGGAACTCGAGGACGACAAGTGCAGCCATAGCGAAGAAGAGGCTGAGCTGGCAGTGAAAAAGCGCAGAGGAGCCTTCAAAAAGCGACACTGAGTCGAGTGTGACGAGCTGCTTGCGTGCAGTTTTAGTTGAACAGCCCGAGATAAGCTAAGCGCAAGTTGGACTGTGCAGTACAGAGATCGGGCAGCAGCATCGACTAGCGCGTACATAAGTGCAAATAAGACCGATACAAGAGGAGAGTCGTAGTTGAGAGAGGGAGAAAGCTGTTGTGGTAGCCGTTCGTTCAGTGGTTGTCAGTGTGTGAGTGCGAGTGCGTGCAGCAGCATATAGGCAGAACAGCGCATATAGGCAGCGCGCAGCTCTGCGTGCGAGCGATAAGAAGCCCAAGGAAAGAACAAGAGAGAAGAGGGGGGAGGGGCAGTCGTCCACAGTCTCACACATAGGCAGCAGACGAGAGCAAGGTAGGTACGCGTATACGTGTATGTGACGGGCTCTTTCTTTTGCTTGGCGAGTAGCACGCAAGGTCTGCGTGCGTGTACGCGAGGATTTCTCTGGCGGGCTCTCACTCTCATCTCACCGCCGTGTAGCCGTAGCAGCAGCCACCGTTATTCTCTCTTCTCTGGTCGTCGCGGGACCTGTTGATAGTCCGTGCGCAGCGCCTCTCGCACCGCGCGCACATACACATCTATAAGTATATTTTACAGCCACGACCAGGTCCCTCTGTCTCCTCTCTGAGGCGTTGTTTGCATCTCTCGGTACCTGCCGGATATTTAGCCGCGTGCACGGTGAACGATGTTTTTCGCGGAAGCGAGCTTCGCCGTCGTGGAGAGTCGACAAAGGCATTTTTTTCGAGTGAGCTGTTCGATTCGCTGGCGACGCCGGCGTCGGCGGCGACGAGGACGGAATTAATCGTGTGCGCGATCGCTTGATAGATCGTCTGGAATTTGTGGGACGCGCAGGAAACGGGTTATCGTCGTAATCTTATCAGCGACGCCTCGCGCCTTGGTGTCTATGTACACTCAAGCAAGGGGCTTATCGGCGACCGCTCGTTTACGACCTTTTAAATGCTCAGTCGACACGACAAACTTTCGTGCAAGTATAGCGTCGGAATTAAATTCTAGAGAGAGAGAGAGACGGACAGAATGCGCAGTTCATTAATTTCCGAGGGCGAATCAAAGTTTTCAGTCTAAAAATAGGCCATGACGAGCGAGTCAAGTGTGCGCAGACACGATGATTAACGCTATGATCCTCTTGCTGCTGGTGCTGCTGCCACTGCAGCTGAAATTTTCATACAGAGTCAAATTTGAAACATTTATTCATGCCGACTATGCTCGTCTTGCGACTAATGTATGCTCATTGCCGCTGCTCCCGGTTTCGCTAACGAAGCTTCTCTTTCTCTCCCGTGCGCGCGCGAGGATTTTTCCGTCAACGTCGGGCTGGCGCAGAAGAAGCCGCGGAGGAGTCCTGCATTTCGGCCGCTTTCCCTTTTGTCTTTCGCATGCGGCGAGCAGGAGGCGTGAACGATGCGCTTTGCGTTCAGCAGCGGCAGTTCGTTAGCCGGCTCTCTGCCTGCGTGTGTGCCCGGCAGCTTTGCGAGCGCACACGGCGTGAATCACAGTTGTACGTTGGCAACGCGACAGCGGAAAGCGAAATTACTCTCTTTCTTCTCTGTACGTACGCTCCGACCGACTGTATGACTACGACGACGAAGCGAACGGCGGGAGGAGTGGGGAGGGGGGGCTTTTAAAAAGCACTGGCGCGAGAAGCAGAGAGATTGTCGGAGCGCTCTGCACCTAGCCAGCGCCGGCGCTGCCATTGCTGCTCCCGCGCATCATGCAGATTGTCTCAATCGCGACTATCGACTAATGGACTCCCTCGTGACTGCCGACTCGACTCTCGCTCGCTCCGACTACAACTGCAATCGCGATCCTCCTGTAGCTCAACGTACACGCTACTTTTGTCTGATAAAATCGTTGCCTCTCTTCTCCCTCGAGCTCCAATCAAACGCTAATTATTAATTTCGTTAGGCTAGCGTTGTCAATATACGTCGATTACGTGGTTGCGCTGCGGACTGTCTGTTCGGCCATCAATATTAATGACGATCGTCTGCGCTAATCGGTAAACAGAACAAGGCAATCCGTTCCTCGCGGAAACGTGCTTTTTCGATCAAGTGTCCGCGCGCAAATGAAAAAAAAAATACTCCCCGAGTGCAAACAGACCGCGCTTCCAATCAATCGTTGCGCGCTTTTTTAATATCAATTTGAACGAGAGAGAGAGAGAGAGAACAGCAGCGAAAGAAATTCAGGCCGGGCAAATAGAGCGAAATCCGGGTGGCCGCACTGATTGTTTTGCCCGCATGAACCCGCGCGCGTCAGCTGACGTAGCAATTGTTTATTCAAGGGTCGCGCTCGCGCCGCCGAGGAAAGAATTGAATTTGTTGCTGCGGAGACCACCCCCCCCCCCTCACGCCACCGCCGCCCCGAAAACTCGCAGCCCACTCGCGCATTCCGGCGTCGTCGCGCGCGACGAAGCCAAACAAAAGTACGGCTCCGCGCCGGCTGCTGATACACTTCGGCGACAACTCGACGGATAAATCGCGCGGGTCTTCGACTGTTCCCACCTCCTAAATCCGCCCGTTCGCTGTCCCGCTTCTCGAGTAATAGACGATCGTGCGCCCCGTGCGAGTTTACTTGTCGAAAGAAAAGTTTGACGCAGCAGCCGTGCGATTGCCTTGGTCTCTCGCGCTCGAGATTACTTATGCAACGCGAAAATCAGATCGACGCATCAGTCGTTGACGAGGGTTCCGAGCGGTCGGTCGGCGTCGAGGGGCAGAGGCGATCGAAGCGGAAGCGTTCGCCAGCGAAACGATCGTGCGAGAGCGAGGCGAGAGCAGCCGGCGCGGAGTCGGTCAAAAGCTGATTAGCGCGAGGAAAAGGCGGCCGCGCGCGCTCCCGGCGCTCTGTGTGCGTCTCGAAAGTTTGCAGCGCACCGACGAAAAGGAGCCGTTCTGAGAGCTGTGCGGACAAAGGGATCGCGGCAAACTTTGGACAGCAGCTGGCTGCTCAGTACGAGGCTAGCGCACCCGGTAATAATCACGATAATCCAGCAGCGGCAAACAAGGCGTGAATTGATCGCTCCCCGCGGCGCCACGCTTGCGAGCGCAAAAACGGCTCGCGCGCAGCTTCTTGCGCGACTCGGCGATGCCGTCATAACGCTTAATTTCCGACTGGAGCTAATCCGTTGGTGGTCGGACTTGCCTATCTGCTCGCCGGCCAGGTGAGAGCGCGCGCTGGAAAACGACCAGGCGAGCGGCGGCCCACTTGTAATCTGCGGATCGAGGGCGCGTGCGTTTCGGCACATCTGTGGCGCGTGCGTTTCGGCACATCTGTGGCGCGCGCGTACCTGCTCAAAGAGTCCGGAAAGAAAAGTGGAGTTGGGGGGGGGGGGAGTAGAGAGGCCGCGACTAGCTGTGCACTCGGATGCTGGCCAAAGGCTGAGAGGAAAAGAGCTGCTCCAAATCAAAGCTCTTAAACTAAACGTTCCGCACGAAAATTGCCAATCTATGCCGCTGAATGGCTGGCTTTGGAGAGGGCTGCTGTCATGATACGCCATCGATCTTTCGCTTTTTTACCTCCGCTCCCCCGCCGCCTCGGATTACTGCCGCGCTACTAATTGGACCACAGTACAAAACAAACTCGCAGCGAATTTATATTTGCTCGTTTTTTCCCGTTGTTTTCATTCTCTCTCTCTCTCTCTCTCTCTCTCTCTCTCTCTCTCTCTCTCTCTCTCTCTCTCGGAGCAAGCAACGTTGGCAATGTTTGCTCGGTTGATAATTAAGCGTATTTTTAACTAGCCGCTCGACCGAACATGCGCAGCTCAAGTGCGATCGAAAAAACGAATGAAAAGAAGCAACGGACAAAAACGAAAAAGACGAACAATATCGATGCTGCACTCGGTGTGTAAAGCTCTGCAATAATTCATAAGCAAATAAATGGCGAGCTGGGGGGGGGGGGGGGTGCTGCAAATCCCAGGCGATCGTCCCGACGCGGCGCAGAGTTGAATGCACTCTCGCTCTTTCGCTGGCAGTAGCGCGAGCGACGAAGATATTGCCTCTGCAAGTATAAAATTTGATAATACAAGTTGGCGTAAATCGAGCTGTGCGGGCAACAAAGTCCTCCGTAAATGCGCGCGCCCCATTTCGATTATTTGGTCAGGTCGTTGACTCGAAGGCATAATAAAAGCGCCGCGAGCACGAAAAAGCAAAAGGAAAAACAGAGCAGCGAGCTCCAGCGGAGGCAATAAAAGTAAAGGGAGAGAGGAAAAAAGAGTAGTGCTGAGGGAATGTGACTAGCCGTTATTCGCCGCTCGATTCCTCGTTCATTGGCGCGCGACGACCGCGATAAAAGTGCACACTCCGCTCCCCGCGCCTGGCGCGCTGCGGCTACGTGTGTGTGAAAGAAGCTCGGCGTTGGGGAGCTTTGGCGCGGGCGAAATTATGTGTACCTTGGCCGGGCATCAGTATTTCAGAGAGCTCGCAAGACGCCTTTCAAGACGCGAGATGAATATGACAAAGCTATCTGCCGGGATTAATGGGCTGCACGCGCCTGCAGCGAGCTCGGCAAAAAGCACACGCCTTATCGCCCACCGGATATACATAAAAGGAAAATCACTCTCCGACTGAGCTCGCTGCCAGCGAGTCGTAGCGCGAGTGCGACGGCCCGCTCGATCCTCCGACAGGCGGATTGCGGATCGTTATTACTCGTTAGCCTCGGTCCGACCGAGCGATCCATTATTTCCAACGATCGTGTTAATGATCGAAACAAGCCGTCGGCCGATTAGCGCAGCGCTCGGCGAGGCGCAATTTCCGAAGTAACAAGCGCCAGATGGAGAGCAGCGAGGGTCATTGCGAGGTTCGCTTGGTGCGCAAGAATTGGGTCGGACTTCTCGCTGTCGACGACAGCGAGATGCCGGGACGCGCGCGAGAGAGCCGCCAGTCCATCGCCGGCAGCGCCCACGAGGCAATCGCCGCTCGAGCGAGTCCGGCGAATCGCCCGCGCGTGCCACTTTCGCGCGCCCGACCGATATTAGCACCGGTAGACCGTTTTCCAGGCCAATATGACGCGCCGGGAATATTTGCGGCGGCCCTATCCTCGGCACCGCATAATGCCTCCCCGAAATTGCTTCACGCCGCCCTGCTCCGCGCAAACCTCGTCGGCTTTTGTTTTCCTACGTCAGCGCGGAACATCTGCCAGCCCGTGGAAACTACGACGCCGGCCATTGTTCATCCCGCCCCACCCCCGCCCCCGAACGTTCTCGCTCTCTTGTCCGCGGCTACTGCTGCTGCGTGTTATAATGCCCTCGCTCGTTTTCACGCCTCGTCGATGCCCCTCTCGTTTGTATTCTAATTGCGCGTTGCGCCGAGCGCCAAACTCGTCGGATAAGCTCCTGCCCAGCGGACAGA